TGTTAATATCTTGTTGAATCAAAGGTATAATACAAAACAGCACATGCAATTCCAGCTCAGCAAGCAAGATTACAGCAAGATTCTTAAAGTCTGTGTTTCTTTAGCTTAAGGAGTATCCAAAGAGACAATGAAAGCACTTTTGCACAAGGTTTTGTAGAGAGAGTAAATTATAAATATACATTAAAAATTTCACTAATGCTTGTCAATCTGCTTCTAAAAGATGTAATTAGAAGATAAAAAAACTAGTTAGAAAGTCTGTTTCATCTCAAGACCTTGTTTACATACTGGCAATTTTGAAATAATCTGTATCAGAAAGAGCAGTTGAAGCTTTATATAGTTATACAACGGGTATTTTCCAAGATATAAAAATGGTGCATAATTCTTTAAAATGAAAATTTTATCACTAAAATAGTCATAAAAATGAGTAGCTATTAGTAAAAAAAATTCTTTAATAATGTATTTAAACCAAACAGAATTTTTAATTTAAAATCTCAAAAAACTGATTTAATCATACCAAAACAAATGTCATAGCAGCAGAAAGACATGAAAACAAACAAGAAAGTTTGCAGGAAATATGGATTTTACTCAAGGCTAGCCTCATCAGGAGCTCCCTCAGCTCTTGCCTTTTCTAGGGAGTGGTCTGGGGACAGCACCCGCCAGGAAGCCTTGCCTGGTTTTCCAGTTTCAAAAACCTTTCTTAGTTACACAGAACATTTCCATGATCAACCCACTTGGGTTGAAATTCTGTAGTCTGGTGTCTGCCTGGAAATTTTAATTATTCCTGTTTTCAGCCAAAAGATTTAAGAAGTAGAGAAGATACATTCCTGAGAAAAGTTAGTCTTTGCTTTGCAGGTATGTGGGCTTCTTGCAACAAGGATGTCCCCATTTAAAATCTTCCTGGATTTGTCAATGTTTAATAAAACTGAAGCTTTTACCCTACTACATGGAGAGTAATGTTGTCATTTCAGAATTAGTTTGGACCAGGATAAGCTAAGTATTGCTGGCACAGCAGTGGTCGCATCTGATCATAGAGTGAGCACTAAACCATTAAGTACTGAACAATAATGAATATGCAGGAAGTGAGTAAATCAAAATTACACAGGCAGACTTAATCATATCATTTCCTCATTTTTGAGTGCTCAACTTTTCATCCATAGCAGTTAGCATTTAATGCAGTTTCTGTGAGCGTGTGACTTTGCTAGATATTTCAAAAAACTGAAAACCTCACTACTTAGCATTATTGTGACATCTCCAAAATATCAGCAGCCTTTTAATCACTTCAGCTAACAAGCTGTGTCACCTGGAGTGGTCACAGGGTCCTGTTGTAGGCAGGGACAATGGGCAGCAGTGAGAAGTAGGGATAAGATGCTCTCCTGTTGGGTTTTGAGGCAGCAGAGGAGCACCAAGTTTGCAAGCACCAGGATGCCCTCCCAGATGCTCACACGAACCAGCTGTCCCTGCCTGTCCCCCCTGACCTCCACCTTGGTGCCTCTTTCTGTACCTCAGACTCCTCACTCCAGTTCCACACTTCAGATGAGCATGTGCTCACCTCTATTTCTGGCTTTACAAGTCACAGCTACTTCCCAAGAAACTCTGAACATCACCCCATTTTCCAACCCCACTTGCAGACTTTTTACAGCCTGAAGACCTGCCTGGCTTCTCCTCCATTCTCTTTCTCCCATGTTGTCATCCTGATCTGATCTCCCTGTTCCAGGCTCAGGTTCATGCCCACTCCCTTCATGACACCTTCTTTTTCCAGTTGTCCACATCACCCCCTTCTTATCATAGCTTGTACTAGGAGTTTCTTTTCCATCTCTTCTTTTTCTCATTGCCATGGATTACAGTTCAAATCTCCTTGTCTCCTTTGCTCCTCATATACTGGTCATCATTTCTGACTCCACCCACTCTCGGTGTTCACTCTCCTGCTGCCCCATTTTTCACCCCACGCACTATCTCCTTGCCTGACCTGTACAGCTTCCTTCAGTCAGTCTCAGCCTTGCTTCTATTTCTTCACTCACCAGTTCCCCTCAATAAAACCCCCAGTGCCACTTCTCATCCAGAAACGGAAAGTTTATCTGTCACTGTGAAGTGGCTTAAACTCACACTGGTTCCAAAGGATATCCTGTTTTCCTCCTTCAACTCCCTCTCACCTCTGAAACCTATGTGGCTGCACAGTAACCGAGCTTAGGAAAATGCAACAACTGAAAATCAACACAAAGAAAAGGTTAAATTTCAGCACGATCGGTTTCCTGCTCTGGCATCTTGATGAGAGTCCAGAGTTGGGACTAAGGCAAAATCATCCTTTGCACCAGCAGCAAAGACTTACATGGATGTTGTGGTTTGACCTGGATGCCAGATGCCCACAAAAGCCACTCTATCACTCCCTTCCTCAGCTGGACAGTGGAGAGAAAATATAACAAAAGGTTCATGAGTTAAGAGTGAGGAGAGATGACTCCCCATTTGCTGTCACAGGCAAAACAGACTGAACTTGGGGAAATTAACTGAACTCACTGGTAGTCAAATCAGAGTAGGATACTAATAAGCAAAACAAATCTTAAAAACACCTTCCCCATGCTCCTCCCTCCTTCCTGGGCTAAACTTTATTCCAAATTCTCTACCTTCTACCCACCAGTGGTGCAGGGAGACAGGGAATGGGGGCTGTGGTAAGTTCATCACATGTTGTTTCTTCCACTGCTTCTTCCTCAGGGAGAGGAGTCCTTCCCCTGCTCCAGCATGGGTTCCTTCCACAGGAGACAGTTTGTGGAGGACTCTAATGTGAGTCCTTTCCATGGGCTACAGTTCTTCACAAACCACTCCAACATAGGTTCTTTTTCCACAGAGTGAAACCCCTCAGGATCACACTGCTCCAGTGTGGGTCCCCTGTAGGGTCACAAGTCCTGCTAGCAAACCTGCTCCAGTGTGGGCTCCTCTCTCCGTGGGTCCTGCCAGAAGCCTGCTCCAGTGCAGGTTTCCCACGGGGTCACAGCCTCCTTTAGGCATCCATCTGCTCCAGCGTGGGGTCCTCCACAGGATGCAGGTGAATATCTACTCCCCTACTGACCTCCATGGGCTGCAGGGGCCCAGCTGCCTCACCACGGTTTTCACGACAGGCTGCAGAGGAATCTTAGCTTGGGTGCCTGAAGCCCTTCCTCCTCCTCCTTCTCCACTGACCTTGGTGTTTGCATAGTTGTTCCTGTCATGTATTTTCACTCCTCTCTTCTCTGGCCACAATTATTTTGGCCCATAATTTTTTTTACCTTCTTAAATGTGTTATACCAGAGTCATTACTACTGTTGCTGATGGGCTCAGTTTTGGCTGGCGGTGGGTCTGTCCTGGAGCTGGCTGGCATTGGCTCTGTCAGATATGGGGGAAGCTTCTGGCAGCTTCTCAGAGAAGCTGCTTCTATAGCCCCCACTCTTACCAGAACCACGACACACAAACCCAATACAGTGCACTAAAGCAGTCTTGCAACGATGGCTTTAGCAAAAATGGGTAAGATTTGAGGAAGCGATGAGGAATCAGTCTTAAATGGAAGAATACGCTGTGGGGGCAGGGCTGCCTGAGCTCATGCCAGGACCATCTCACTACTCCCCAGTTATTGCTTTGTTCTTTAAGACAGTTGTCTTGCAAGAGGTACCATGCTTTGGCAGAGTGAGAGGAGTTTCACATCAAACAAACTTCTCCAAAAGAAACCTGGAGATTACCTGGGAAACAAGACTAGGGAGAAACACCTAAAAAGTTATTAACTTCAGAATAACAGGCAGGAAAAAATGCTAGCCTGAAGTGAGAACTTCCTATGTTATAATACCTGAAAAACACGTGACTTCCACAGTAGTCACGCTCCTGGTCAAAGTGCAAGAAGCAATGCAACAATTAAGGCTATTCATCAGATGAGGTTCTGGAACCCATTATCCGTATTCTATTTAGGTGTAGTCTGTATTTTCAAATTCCATACATTGTCAGTATGGAATGTGGAAGAACCTTCAATGAACCCTATGTTGGAAACATCTTTCTGCCAACTCTACAAGATGGCCCTGAAAAGTCTTTTTGCTGGGATGGCTTATTCTTTTCAGGGAAACAGTTTAGTTCTGCCAGTAAAGTAACTGCACACAACACACATCTGTTAAAGTTACCACCATGCCCTTACATGTGCTTTTGTCAGCAAAGACCTTTAAGCACAGACAAGACCTGGCTCACCAAAATGACCTTCCTGCAGAGGCATTTGTGAGTTCGCTCTGCAGTGCCTTTCTTTTTCCTTCTCTGTGTTGCAAAATATTGATCTAGATTCATAATACAGATACTCAAAAGAAGAAAAAAGGTTACATCAGTGCCTGAATAAGTTTTGCACGTAAAATCATGAACCAACATTTCTTCATGAATGAAGTAGCTAGAAGGAGCCAAAAGGTTTGGGTGTGTGTTCACTGCTGACAAATACTTTTATTAATTTCAGAAACCTTCAGTGGCTGATGTGATGTGAGAAACCCTCAGAGAACTTAGCATACAGCACCACCTTCACTTACAGATAGCCAAAAGTATTCTGCAAAAGAACACTGTCCTCTTTTTGCAGTGCCAGATGGGTGAATCATAAAACTGCCAAACATGAGGCCGCAGAGTAACCAAACTAATTTTAATTATAAACCTACTTCAGATCATCCAAGCCATATGCAGAGTAATTTAAAATAAGGAGAAACAGGAGGACAAATGGGTGGATGAAAGTAAAAAGTCTAGGCCTGCTCCTCTTCTTGAGACCATATAGACAAAAAACTGTCTCCCAGAAGAACAAGGCCCTTTTGCAGCATGTTGATTTTCAAACGGTACATCCTACTTCACAGCTGCTGTGCTACCATGATGATTGCTTCCTTTCCTTCCAACCCATCCTCACTCTACACATGAGTCAGACTGGAGACCTATTCAGCCTCTAAATATGTGCTTAAGTCTTTCCATATTCAGGAAAGAAACTCATATGGAATGTAATTAAAAGCATGTACCTAATTGTTTACCTGAATAAAGCCGCTCTGCTGAATCTGTGCTAAAATGTCAAGCGCACGTCAGGCAAACTCAGGATCTTCAGCAGTGCTCCTGTTTGCAGAGCCTCTGTCATGAAAAATGCTATGTCCCAAAGGGGGAAAAGGTTTTTCCTGGAGAGCAGCCCAGAATGAAAGGAACCATCAGATCAAAGATAAGTCTTACCTCCCTGCTACAGCCCTCACTTCCCCAAACAGCAGATCAAGGTGGAGGAGGGCTAAATAAAGGGAAAAAAATAGATTTTTTTTTTTTTTTACCAGAGAAATGAGACGTTCCCCAAACTCCTACTTGGTTTCTCCAAGCAATACAGCTAGGAGCAGGCTGTTGCTTGCTTGAAAACTCATAGGCTGCGAGATAGGAAGTCATGGAGTGCCGGTGTCAGAAAGTTATTTATTGACACCTCCTGTCTCCAAGCCATTTCACAGCCTGGCAGTGCACAGGAGGGTGTTCAGATTCACCACAGCAGGCTGACCTTTCTGCTTCCACAGACAGAATGGTCTCCAGCCCCCGTGATTCAAGACACCATGGATACTTTTGTTCGTTGGCTATCATTCATTAGATTTGGGAGATCAAGCTGTTTAAGCTCACACTTCTTGGAGTGAAGAAAAAAATGTTGCACACTTTACATTATCTCTTGCAAATATGAAAGCTTGCTGCAATCTTCAGATACAATATTTATGAATTGGTCTTTCAGCCAAATCCACTTTTGCATAAGGATACACAGCTGCTGGTACCCAAAAGTATGAGAGTTCCCAAATATATCTTTGCCATTTTTAAAATCATTCTAAAGGCTTGAAAATAATACTTCTTTCATTGTAAGTGAAATCTCTAGTTCTGATGTTTCAAAGACAGTCTGAAATTAGCTGGGTTTTGTTTGTGTTTGTTTGTTTGTGCACAAGGATAATTGATTAAATCAGCACAAGCGTAACTGATTATACACTCTAAGAAAACTACTGAAGAATTCAGTGGCAAAACCAGCAGCATTGTGAAGAGACATACCAAATTTTTATGCTGACATGTCCTACATAGAATCCCCTCTCAACTATACAGTAGCAAACTTGGAATGTGTCATCACCTCCCACCACTGGATATCATAGATTTTGAATGAATGTAACCTGCATGCTTCAACACCTCTAAAGAAATTTTTTTAAGCTGTCTCTTTAAGCTTTTTTCCATAAAAAGGGAAAATTTGCATAGCAGAATATTTAAATACTCACAACTTACCAAAAAAGTCAACCCCCTTTCATTAACCAGTGCAATGACCCTCTAATAGTTTCACACTGAGAAAAAATATGCAGAGAAAAATCATGCAGAGAAATATGACAAGTCTAATAGCAATTAGGACTTTGAAAATATATATATTACAGACTAGTCAAATGGAATGTGAAATTCAAAGTTAAAAACTGAACTTATATCCTTCAGTCCTCAGAAAAATAATCTATTTTTAATGGAGCTAGAAAAGCTATCTTTATCAAATTTCTCATTCAGTCAACAACAATAAATCTATTGTTCAGATGTGGTTTAAATGGGTCTTTGGAAGAGGAGGGTTTTGAGAAAATCAAACAGAAATTGCATTAAAGAAGAAATGCATTCTTTAACTGTCATTACTCTGTATATATAGCCTGAAGTTTTTCATTCATTTTAGGTTTGCCAGAGTAACATGCAATTGGACCCTGTGAAAAATTATTTGTAACCATTACAAGAAGAGAAAATGTGTCCTCTTGTTTAAGGGAGAATAAGAAAGGATTGTGTTATGTCTTTTACTTTAAGAAGTATGTCTGCAGGGATCCAGATGCTGAGAAACAGTAAGCTGATGGCTTTAGTTTGAAATGCTATACTATACATTAAGCCATACACCTACTATTTATTTAACATGCATAAATTAGGTCTTGTGAAAAAGAACACACATTTCAGTCAGACTTGCAAAAATATAACAATACTTGGCATTCTCAAAATGCTTTCCATTTGAAAAATGCAAACAATTAAGAGGTAGCAGGGGTGAACTGAGCCATTGTGCAGGACACAAACGGAGCAAGGACATCCAGGGAAAGCTCCAACGCCATCAGGTGTTGCACAGCTGGAAGCAAAGTGCCTGCAGCGATAAGGTACTGCCTGATGTAATCTAACCACGGAGATGGATCAACGCCCAAAAAAGCCATCACTGTAGCTCCTCTTACTGTCAATGGTATATTTAGCAGCCCAGAGCACTCTGCTTTGTGCCCCCCTCTGATACCTAGTTATGAATGGCACCCAGAATTGATCATATGCTACAATACTCTGCAAAGCTGCCCTAGTTTACAGATCAGAGAAGTGATGCACAAAAAAGCACTATGTATGTGTTCTAAGCTCATAACATTGCACAGTAGAAGAATTACAAATAAAACCCATTTCTCTGGAGATTTTCAGTTTTGTCACCCTCAACAAAACCCATTTTACACAGACTTCAAAATCCATATTTTTTTCTGACTGAAATACTATGAAAAATATTTATTTTATCAGTCCAAAACTTAATTTACTGCTGAAACCTTGCATCAATATTTCAGAGGAAATTCTAAGATTCTACCAAGAAGAGGAGGAAAGATTATAGACAGAAATATTGTGTAAACAAATCTCTGCCTGCATCACCAATCTTACAAACTGCTGCTTCGCCCTAAGGCAAGTACCTTCAAATAAGCACCTGTACATATAAACGGTCTAAACAAGCTCAATTAAATTCCTGGAAACATGCATGATGTATATCAAGTTTTTACAGTGCTGTAGTCAGTGAAGGTGATGATAACAGAAGGATAACTGAAAGAGAGTGCGAGACAGTAAGAGGAGAGAAGAAAGGAAGAGAGGGCAGGGTAGAAAGAGAAGGTCCTAAGACCTGACTGAAGTAAAAAGAAAAAAGATCCTATTGAAGGAAGCTAAAGATTCAAAACCAGAAATATAAAAGGTGAGAAAACAAGGTGAGATTAAAAAAATTAAATTAAAAAAAAAATCAAACCCAAAGTGACCGAGAAAGTTTAGACCTCTCAGAAATTCAAGTCAGTAATTCTTTGTCAGGCAAACACTCCTTGATTTCAGTGGGAGTTTTGCCTTAATGAGGACAGCAGGATAGGCACCAAATGCAGCTTTATTTCTTATACTTCAATAACAGCAAGATCTAGCAAGATATTCTGTTGTTGAAAAAGACGACACACTTTTGAAGAAACATGAATATTAGAGGCCAGGTAGTATAAATGTAATTGCTACAATGAGCTAAGTTACATCAGTGTGCATCAGCTGACAATAAAGTCCTTTGTCCTGGAAAGAAAGAAAAAGATGAAAAAACTGACTTGTGTCACCCTACAAACAATCAAATTAAAGGTCCAGAATTATTCCAGAAAAGTTTTTACTGGTTTCAGTGACAGCCCATAAACAAGCAAGATTCCTTAGTCCTTCTCATAAAAAAATTTAAATACATGCTTGACTATGAATGGCCTATTTATTTTTCATTAGTTGTGCTCTTGCTGAAATTGTTGGAAATGCATCCAGCTGGTTAACAGAACCATTGTTTGATTAGGCTGTTTACGTAAAATTGTCTTTAATATACTGAAAAGAAAGTATAAAATAAATAGACTGAAGAATAAAATATTCTTCTTATCTTGGTAGCCAAAGATAAAACAAATCAAAACAACTCCATGTTTATCTGATGAAGGATGAAGATTCTGCCTAATCAAGGAGTGGTCTTAATGGTCCATGTAAAAATCATAAGGTGTTTTGCCCTTTATAAATCATAAATCAAAGGAACCCTCACTGGAATGTGGATATGTCTAATGCAAAGTCTCAAATTTAAAACCTTTTACTGTTCTAGATGTCAAAATCGGGAACAGACAAAATATCACAAGTAAAATGCAGAAAATTACCAATAAAAACACTAGGGTAGATATTTTGGGTGAAATCCAGGAATAATTGAAAAATATACCATCTCCAGCTGATCACATTGCACACAGTATTTATTATTGACTAGCTTTTGCAAACAGACCATTCTAACCCATGATATGGGAAATATGTCAATTCTCCATGAAGTATTAATGAGGGGTGTCCCACCCAAACCAATAAGTCTAGGACATGCTCAAAGTCAGATTTATTCAGCCGCTGACTCAATCAGATAATCAGTAATTCTCAGGTTTTGCACGGTTACATCCACCTGTTGATTTAGAGATTACAGGTGGGACCTGCCTTATTAAAATAGTTCTGCAGTTTAAAAATTTGACACACCTAACAAAGGAATTGAGAGAAAAAGTCTGGTCTGCACATCAATGATAAAAGGATAATAAATAATCAAACTTAATTATTATTGTTTACAGGGCTAAAATTATGCTTAAAGATATTCATTGCCATCTGTAAGCCTGTTAAAGCTGATTACAATTTTCTTGTGCTGTTTTTCTTCCCAATGGTTGAATATTATTGTCTATTTTTAAAGGAAAAAAACCCAAAGCTGCTTGAATAATAAATTGTTTATCCCATGTAAGAACAAACCATAGTGATGAACTTTAAGAATGGTTCCCAAATTAGAATTGAGAGTGAAAAACAAGTACTTTCCTGTTCAAGGCTTTGTTTTTAATGTGTTTTTATTTTTAACTAGATTGAGTGCTGATTACAGAAAATTCAAGGCTACCCGGACATCAGGCTGCTCAACTGACTGAAAAGTTTGATGACTTCTCTAAAAAGTGAGGTCTGTGCATGAAATTAAATCAGTATAACTGGGACCAGATAACTCGAGGGGAAGGAGGGGAAAAGGTTAATATTGTTTATTAAATTATGTTAAATGAGATCAAACAAGACGTGCAGGATTCAGGAGGGCTCTTGGAGCTCCAGTTGTTTCCCCAGGCTGCTTATGCAACCTTGTTTGCGCAGACAGTGCAAGGGCCTGCCATTTTATTACATAAGGTAGCCCAAAAATATACAGCTAGGCAGTTGTGAGCTCCATTAACTGCTGCACTGGAGTTTCTGTATCAGTTAGCATCTGGAAATTTGAAGAAACGATCAGAAGGATGTAGGACATTGCTGAGTTTGAGATTGGTGCTGGTGTTTTAATAGCAATAGATCTCATCCAAAAGCCAGCAAATACCATCAGCATGAGCTGTGTTTGAATACATTGTGCTTTGACCATTGCTTAGTGAACAGCAATACACAGTCTCTGGCTTAGCACAGCCGTAGTAAGTGCAATCCATGGCTTCAAAATCTGCCTTTCAGATGATTAAGCAAATTGTCTGGTTTAGTAAACAGCAGTCAACACAACATTATTGTTTTAACCATAGTGCTTAAATGCAGTGGATAGCTGAAGAAATTTAATTTCCAATCCTCTCATTCTCAGTTCAAAATTTCAAAGCCTGGTCTTGTACAGATAGATAAAACTGTAGCCACAGCAATATCATGTGAAGGAAGATGACTGCCTTGGCCCAAATCCTCTCCCTCATATCGGGCAGCAGTGAAGGCTGGGGAAGCCTGCATCAGCGGGGCAGGCATGTAGCAATTACAGTCTCCCAGCGGAGACTTCTTCGGCCAGGCATTTTATCTCAGAATTCAACGCCTTTTGGTGGGATTGCTTCCCTGAATGAACTGCTTTCTGAACCTACTTGAACTCAAGAAGATAAGGCTGTCTATCCTTGCCATGACTGCACAGCTACATAATAGGACACCAGGGAGTGAGCTCGAGCACTGTACGCTGCCTTTTGGGGTACACAGAATCACATAATCATAGAATATCCTGAGTTGGAAGGGACCCACAAGGATCATCAAGTCCATCTCTTAGCCTAGCATGGGCAATCACCAACCATATGAAATTTAACAAGGGAAAGGCCGGATTCTGCACCCGGGACAGGGCAACCCTGGTTGGGTGTACAGACTGGGGAATGAGAGGCTGGATAGAAGCGCTGCAGAATGGGACCTGGGGGTCCTGGTCGATGGCAAATTGAATATGAGTCAGCAGTGCCCTGGCAGCTAGGAGGGCCAACTGTGTCCTGGGGGGCATCAGGCAAAGCATCACCAGCCAGCTGAGGGAGGTGATTGTCCTGTTCTGCTCCACACTGGTGCAGCCTCACCTTGAATATTGTGTGCAGTGGGAGCCACAATATAAGAAAGACCACAATTAGTTTTAGATTATAATTAAGCTATTAGAGAGTGTCCAAAGGAGGACCATGAGCATGGTGAAGGGTCTGGAGGGGGAAGAAAAGGTTGAGGGGAGACCTCATTGCAATTTTCAACATACAGTTTTGGCTCACACCTTTGCTCTTCTTTGGAGCACTTCACCTAGCTTCTCGCACTAGCCTGTTCCATGGCTGATGTGTCATAACAGAGCCAGCCCTGAACAGCGAAGGTACAAACCACCAGAAGCCTTTTGACCTCGGGAGCCAAGGAGGGACACCACTTGCTTGACCGCTTCATTTTGCAGAGCAGACACTGGGAGACCACCTGGCTTAGCACCCTCCCTCAAGCCATGGCCAGACACAAGTGTAGAGGAATGAGTTACAAGAACAAGGCAAACCAATGGTGATATTTCTTCAGCACACTCACCAAGCTTCTAAGAATGTGCAGCTCAAAACTTCCTAAGCCAGAGGCAGTGGTTTTAAGTTTAATAGCCCTTGATGGATTTCTCTTCCATGAACTCATCCAGTCACCTCATTAGCTGATGTAACCTCTCAGCATCCACATCCTGTGGTGAGCAGTTCAGCAGTCTGACCACTCCATGTGAAGAGTCATCTCCCTCTGTGTTCATGCCAGCACCCAGTCCTTCTGCTGCTGTTGCCATGATCAGTAATTCCCAGTTTGCCTTCTCCATGCTTTGCTTAATTTTACAGATTTCTGTTGCATCAGTTTATCAGTGCTGTCAGTCCTCGGACAAGAATTACTCCATTCCTCTGATCACCTTTGTTACATCCCTCTGAACCTCCTCCCCTGCCATTATACATCTTTGAGGTGGGGAAATCGACAGCCCAAGATACTGAAGATGTGGGCACACCATAGCTTCTACAGTGAAACAATGAGGATTCTTTTTTATTATTTTCCATCCTGTTAAAAATAATCTTAATGTTCTATTTCCCTTTGGTTTTTAATTCACATCTGCACATTGCATTGATTTTTTTTTCCGAGTTGTCCGTGGAAGACTTTATCAAAGCTTCTGCACCTACCATGACCTATAGCAATTAATTTCTATTATTACAGATACACTTTTTCCATTAATTTTCAACGTGACATGCATAGCACATTTATCTCATATGAAGATACTCAAAGAGAAAGGGTGATTGAAACGTCCCAGTACATGATGCTCTGTCATGCCAGCACTTCTTGCAGGTTTTGGAATGACAGAGGTTTCATACCCGAACTTCCAAATTTCCATTCTGATCTCAAACGTACATACACATCCTCTAGATTTTTTCCCATATCATTGTTTCACTTTGCTCCCTAAGAACAGTGGTAAAACAGCTGAAAAACACCTTCTGTCATTATCAGGCCAGTAGCAGACTAGCTGTTTTACACAAACTTGTGCCCAAGCAAGAGAAGGTTAGATAACCACCCTGTTCCCACCACTTAACGTGGTCAATTTTGGAGTATCTTGGAGCTCTAGGCATGCTACCTACCACACAGACACAGGAAAAAGAGATGGCATTGCCTCAGAAAGCTTGTAGGCAAAGGAGGGGAGAAGGAAGAGCTGGCAGGTACTGACAGGGTACTGGGTACAGTGTGTGGCAATACTATTTTCTAGTGACAAAGGTCTAAGCTTATCTAACTTTTGTGAGAGTTTTATTTTTCTGAAGTCACAGGTGAATTTTCAGACTGAAGCAGGATTGAAACACTTAGCATTGGGGATGCCTAAGACTATTCCTCCCAAATCTGGCAGGTAGCATGCAAGAAATGCTGATTTCTGCCATGGTCCTTGGATAAAGGAACAGAAATGTCTTTACCAAAGTGTAATTAAAAACATTATGGCTGGACTGAGCTGTGCTTCATGGTTTGCCTTCAGGGGGAAGAAACACAGGAAGAGAAGCATAAAAAACGGTACTTACCCCTCTATCCCCAAAATGTACATCGAATTTATGTGTACGAGGCCAAGAAAGTTGTGCCCCCGTATCCCTCAATCTAATCTGCCAACATCCCTGAGCCACCACAAGATAAATGGAAGGAGCGGAGAATGAACCATGTCTGCAGTTTTCTCAGCTCCTTATTCAGAACATGAGCCTACACAACCACATCCGTTTTCACCCCCTTGTCTTTTCTGCCCTGCAACTCTTGTATTTCTGAATTCAGCTGGCAATATACTGGCATATATATTGTGTGGCCCATAGCATGTCACAATAAAGAGTAATGGCTTTAGTCCCTCCCAAAAAAATGTGCAATACCAAAAGCACCACTACCAATCCACCACCCTCTATGCATTCTGCTTAAATGCTATTACATGATGTTTCCTTTTCAAACTTCAGTAGTCAGACTCATAAAATTATTCTATCAGACGATGCTGATTTCTGACTGAATTAAACTAGCTAAAATACAAATATTTGCATGACCTTAGTCTACTTTTCCAATAACAAGTTTGAATAAGATCAGTGATCACCAGAAAGTCAAGCCAAATCTAGAAAAACTTTTTTTATACAGATAACGATCCCTCTACAAAATCTGCAATCCAAGTGCATCTGCCCTAAGAGCCTGAAAACAAAACTATAAACACAAATGGAAATTCCTTAAATTCATCTAAGACAGAAAGAAAAGCAATTAAATGCATATAAGATGTATATTTAACTGTATAATTTTTTTTATCAGTATGACATTTACCAATCCAGGAGAGGGGCAAAGCAGAGGCAGGTACTGAAAAACACAGCAGGTAGTATTGGGACGAAGATGAGAAGGATGAAAAAGCAGTAGTACCATCCCCCAACCATTGAAAGACTGGAAACCACTGCTTTTGCTCAGATATCCTGTCCCTGTACACTACAAGTGTCAACTTTTTTCTTCCCACCATTGCTTCTCTTGGTCTGGCTTTAGCACCTCTATCCATAGTTCCTTGCACCTTGTTCCCAAGCTTTGTCATCTACGACCCCACCAAATCCTTTGTCTTAATTCAAAGTCTCTGCTCTTCAATTTCTCCATGTCTCCATCATCAATACTTCTTCTCAGTTCGAGTCCCACAATTTCTTGTCACCATGCATGTGAACTAAGCAATTTCCTTTTCCACCCTGCCTTGGCATCACTCGCACACTCTGCCACCAAAGACACAGTCTTCAATGCTCCCTCCTTATGGTGTTCACTGTAGTAGCAACATCTGGGAAGAATAACTGTGGGGGAAAGTCCACTCAGCCCTTCAGCCACCAACTGGAGTGCTCTCATCCTTCCCAGGGAGACAAGCAGTGATCAGCTCCTAACAAAGCTGGGTGTTCAGCATGCCTTATGCTGAGAGCATTTTCAGCGAGTGCAATGGTCAAGCCCTCAACAACCCCTCTACCAGGAGCATGCAACCTGAGCCTTGTGACAAAATTAAAACTAAGAAAAATTCTGGAAGCTTCTAGAGGCTAAACATAAGGCACACCCCCATCACAAGACTGATCTCTTTTCCTCACTCCAAAACACGAAGCCACAAGAATTCAACAGTCTCAATGAAAGCGTTTCTCAACATAGCCAAGGAACGCAGATTCACAGAAAAGATCAAGGTCTCCTAACGCAGGATGATGTACACCTGAACTACCTTCATCAGATATATGGCCAAAGAATACACTTTCCTCTAACCATGTTCACAGAAATAGCTGAACCATTTCAAATGAAGCTTCCCAAAGACAGTTTGTCTTCAGCAGGTACTCAACCTGGAAAATGTCAGCCTAGGTTTAAGCTTAGCAAATGCATAAGCCCCTGATAGCACAGCATTGTACTAGAAAGCACAAGGTAATTTTAAGAGTAGACAACGTTCCTGCATATGATAAAATAACAACTCCTTCAAATGCTCTAGCATGTTCCAGGGTAGAGATTTGGGCAAAAATCATAATTCTGCAAAGTATAGTCTGTGGGTTCAACATGCAAGGCAACACCTTTATTACTGAGGGAAAGAAATTTCAGGCAAGCCTACTGTCTCCAGGCTTTGGAGCAGGGCACAGAAGTGCTTTCAGCTTGGGGAATCACCCTGCTGTCACATACCTGCTTCAGGAAAGCCCTCCATTTTCACATGTTCAGTGAGACAGTGCACAGCTTGGCAATTATGTTCTCCAAATATTCCTGCTTCCAGGCCATCTCTGCAGAGCAACTATGTGTCTATATTCATCTATATAAATGTATGCAGGATTGGGCCCTCAATCAGCTGACAGCTCTCAGAATCAGATACAGATCAGCGGATGAGCTGGGCTACGCCTGGACACTGTGCACGCTAATTATTTAGTGCCAGGAAAAAAACTAAGACCACAGTTTGGTGCATTAACATCTCACACCAGGGTAAGAGAGAGATAATTTTCCACTACAAGAGGCAGCCACTTGTTGAACTGAATGCTCAGGTTAGCCGTGCCCACCTGAGGGATCCCTACAGCCCTTCTGGAGATTTAGCGCCATGAAAAGATCCAAGTTCCTCTGCTGGCTGCAACGCTTATAACCACTAATTATTTCTGAGTCACTTGAGTGAAAGTAAGCTGCCATCCTGTAGACAGTTAAGGACTACGGAGCAAAGTTTCTGGATGAGCGTGCTTGTTAATTGACCAATCAGGCTAGTGACCATAAAGGAAAACACTACAGCACAACTCTGAGTGACTCCAAGTGTTGCCGTTCAGCCGTGGATTTAATATTTACCCCCTTGCATACACGGAAGGAAACACACAGGAGCCCAGCTCAGGGCTGCTGCAGCAGCAAGGCTCTCCCAGCACATGACACAGCCTCTGCTCCCACCAGAAGCCTTCGCCCATTCAAAAACCTCACTGGTCTTACTGGAAGTTTTCTTTGATCACTGCCCGATCACTGCATCGCAGACCCTATTCTACTCTAGCCTATATGAACCCTCGAAGTCAAGAACACCTCCAACAACACCAAGATGAGACAGGGAGAAGAACAGCTGGGGGAGGGGGGCAAGTTATTTTTCCAAAAGGAAGGGCCCAGCCGGCCGGACCCCGCCAGCCCGGCCGGGAGAGACACGGCGCACATACAGTGCTCCCCACGTAAACTTTCCCGTGGCAGAGACGATGCCACCCCGCACCACCGGGCGCGTCCGTCACCGCCACGGTGCGTGGAGCGGAGGGGAGCTGACCCCGGCCGCCGCCGCGGGGGGTCACGCGTGGGCGAGCATCCCGCGTGGGTTCCCGGGGCGAGTGTCGCGG